CGGGATGGGTGTGTCAGAGGCAGTGAGATTGGCACAGGATAGAGCACGGTTTAGGACTGTTGTACATAGGGTCGCTGTGAGTCGCAAACGACTTGACGGCACATAACAACAACAGCAACAACAACCATTTCCCCCACCTTCTAACAGATGTTTCACAAGACAGTTATTGTTCTCCAAAATAAATGTGAAATAGGCACATTCTCTTACCTTTCATCTGTCATTTAGTCACACCGTTATGGCTTACATGTTGATAGGATGCTAGAAACTATGCCCCTGGTATTTCAGATATGAGAAGAGTCACTTGTGGTGGAGAGTTCTTGCAGAGTTTTCAGACTAAGGCTAGGAAGGAAGATCTGGCAATCTACTTTAAAAAGAAAAAAGAGGTAAAAATCTTTGAGTATCAAAGGAACATTCATTGTCTCATACAGCAATAGAAAATGAGCCCTTAGGTTGTAAGTCTTGCACAATATATCTGGAAAAGAGTTGCTTCCTCAGAGCCACTTTTAATTATTTAGATGGAATAGAACTTTTTGAATCATCAGTTTTTTATATGGCAAGACTCAAAATGAGAATTTTTGTTGTTAGGTGCCATTGAGTCAAATACAACTCATAGTGACCTTATGAACAAAAGATCTGAATCTTCTTCTGTCTTGAATCATCTTCATACTTCCTGACATACAAGAAACCACTGCAGCAGTCACTGTGCCAGTCCACCTGTTTAAGGATCTCTCCTTTGCTGACCCTCCATCTTTCCAAGCATCATATTATTTTCCAAGGAATAGCCCCTCCTAGCAACATGTCTGAAGGAAATGAAGCGAAGTCTCATCTTTCTTGCTTCCAGAGAGCATGCTGGCTTCACCCTCTCCGAGCCATACCTTGTTTGTTCTCTTGGCCGTCCAAGGGATGTTCAGTGCTCTTCTCCAACACCACAACTCAAAGGGGTCAATTATTTTCTGTCATATTTATTGTCCAGCTCTCAGATGCTTAGCAAATGATCAGAAAGACCCTGACCTGAATCATATGCACCTTATTCCTCTGTCATCATTACTCAATAATCTGGAGAGGTCCCTAACTTCAGATTTTCCCAGTGCAAAGCATCTCCTTAATTCCTGTGTTAATTGTGGATCCAAGGAAGATGAAGTAGTTGACAGCTTCAGAATGAGAATAAACAGCTGTAAACCTTCATTACTTATAATGTGGAATGTGCAAAGCTTGGAAAGATTTCAGTTGTCAAGGATTTAATTTCCTTGGATCTGTAATCAAAATCCATAGTAGCATTATTCACGACATCATATAATGGATTGCATTGGACAAATGAGCTGTAAAAGACTTCTTTAAAGTGTTCATAAACAAAGATGTCACTTTCTGGACTATGACTGATCTTGCCTAAGTCATGGCCTTTTCACTTGCTGCTTGTGTATGCACAAGCTGGACAGTGAATAATGAAGACTAAAGTTTTTTTGGTGGTTTTTTTTAAAAATTATGGTGTTGACAAAGAATATTGAATATATCCTGCTTTTCCATGAAAATGTCATTTCTTTTGTGAAAAGTCCACCCAGAGTGTTCCTTAGAAGTAAAGAGGACAAGACTTTGTCTCAAATACTTTGGACATAGCTTATTTAGACTTTTATTTCCTGTTGTTAATTTATAATTGTTATTTTCCCATCATAATGGACAATTTGATAAGTAATGTTATAAAGACAGTAAATTCATAAGATAATCACAGTCGTCTTAATATTTTTAAAGAAAGTGTAACTCACTACTTAGAGCATGTAATGAAAAATTGATTAAATTTGAACTGCTAAGCCTGGTAAAAGAAAGAAGATACTAGTTGAAAGACAGTGCATCTGATCCAAGCCATGATATTGTTAATTGATTCCTATGCATCTGATAATTGGACAGTGAATAAGGAAGACTGAAGAAGAATCAATACCTTTGAATTGTGGTATTGGCAAAGAATATTGATTATACCATAGACTATACCCAATGAACAGGCAAAGCTGTCTTGGAGAAAGTGCAACCAACCGGTGTGCTCCTTAGAGGCAAGGATGGTGAAACTTCATGTAATGTACTTTGAGCATGTTGTCAGGAGCGGCCAGTCCTTGGAAAAAGGCATCATGCTGGGCAAAGTAGAGGGTCAGTGAAAGAGGATAATCTTCAACAAGTTGGATTGACATAGAGACTGTAGCAGTGAGCTCAAGTATGTTGGAGATTGTGAGAATGGTATAGGGTAGGCTCAGATCAGTTGTTTATAGAGACACTATGAGTGATGGGTGACTTGATGGCACCTAATAACGAGCCTAATAATTCTATTTGTTAGTCTACATATTTAATTTGCATGAAAATTATTGAATGAATCATTAGTGCCAAGCACATTTTATCATCAATATCCTAAATAAAAATTTCCTGCTAAATATAATTGGAACATCTATTCCAAGGATCCTGAAGCTTTGTCAGACATACTTTGGACAGGTTGCAAGGAGGGACCAGTTCTGGGAGAGGGACATCAGGCTTTGGAGGGTGGAGGGACAGTGCTGGAGAAGATGACTCTCTATCAGGTGGATTGATTCAGTGACTGGGGTAATGGGGGTAGGTGTGTCCGAGACAGTGAGATTAGCACAGGATAGATAGAGCAGGGTTTAGGGCTGTTGCACATAAAAGCGCAGTGAGTAGCAGGTGACTCGACGGCACATAACAGCAACAACATTCCCGATGAGAATGTCTTCTCTCTCCCTCTTAGCATAAATATGTTCCAAGAATCTAATCTTAGCATTATATAATGACCTTAAAAAGCTTGTCAGAAGTTGTGCAAAACTGGTAGAGTTAGAGGATTACTCTTCTACTTGTGAGTCAGATATCACTTAAAATGACCTTCCATTGGGTTTTTGAGGCTATAAATCTTTCCCGGAGGAAACCAACCAGCTTTCTCTAACAGAATCACTAATGAGTTAGAACTGCTGACCTTCAAGTTACGCACTATGCCAACTTCATAGAAGGATTAAATCTTTGAAATATAAAGAATTTGAATTACCCTTATTCTTGTTAATTTTAAGAATAGAGTTGTGTCAGATGGCAAAAAAGCAGTATGCATTTATCCTTTGCTAGAAAACAGATATAGTATTAAAAGAAGTCAAACAAGACCAGTGCAGTATTGTCTAATATAATATTTAAAGATATTTTAAAGAATTTAGTTACTTCAGTTAAGAAGGAGTGATTATAATTTACTACTTAGTATTGTACTTAAGTATCAAATTGTGATATACTACATACTACAAGAGCATAAAAATTAGTATTTATTATCAGTTTATTTTACCTCAGAACAAGCCTGTATATGACACAGTGATGTTTTATCTTAACAGATGAAGGAAAACCAGTTTGAAAAACTAACCAAAAAAGCCTCCAAAAACAACCTGCAAATTATTAGATTATTATAAGGGAGAAAGCGACTTACAATCTAATTAGACCATTCACAGTAAGAATATTTTTGGCGTAACACTATTTCTATATAGGCATGTTGCTATGAAAGGATAATCCTTGGAGAAGGACACTGAAAGAGAGTAAGACCCTCAACCACAGTGATTGCAGCAGTGGACTCGAGAGTGTCAGATTATAAAGTTGGCGCAGAATAGAACAAGGTTCAGATATGTTGTTCATATGGTGGGTGTGAGTCATACTCAGTGGCACCTAACACCAGCAGTTTTTTTGCAGTATATATAATTTATACCATCATGAAGCATCCTAAATTTAGTGACACATATTTTCAAAAAATATTTAGATTGGCTATGGAATTCAAAAATTTCAAGTTTAATTACACTTGTAGTTTTTCTTTTGCTAATATATTTCCAAATTAACCATCTAGTGCTGTTTTTGTGTACCATCGAGTTGGAACTGACCCATAGTTGACCCTCTGATGAGTTTGAGGGAAGAGATTGCCCATTCTTCTCTCATGGAGCAGACTTGAACCGAGTTCCTTTGGGATTGCAGTGAATTTTCTATCCACTAGACTGCCAGAGCTACTGCTCTTATTCTCCTTGCTGTTGAGTTAGTTCAGATTGATCTTTCATCAGGTTTCCAAGACTATAAGTCACTTGAGAGGAAACTGCCTCTCTGGCCTTTCAGTTAACAGTGCACCTTTCTGCAGATTAGCCACAATAACTCCCTTCAATTTCTATGTTGTTGTTGTGTATCCTCAAGCTGAAATGACTCATAGTAAATTGCATAGAAGGAGACTGCCCATCTTTCGCTCAAAGAGCTGCTAGTAGATTTAAAGTCTGTGCCTTAGGATTGGCATCATGTCTTTGCCACTCAGCCGCCAGAGTTCCCTACAATGTGGATCACAACAAATTAGAGCTAACATTGAGGAGAATGGGAATCCCAGAACACTTAATCATGCTCATGTGAAATCTATACCTAGATCAAGAGGCTGTTTGAATAGATCAGAGGAACATTACATGGTTTAAAATAGGGAAATGTGTATGTCAGGGATGAATCTTTTCTGCATACCTATATATCGTTCAATCTCTATGCTGAACAAGTCATTCAAGAAGCTGGGATTTATGAAGAAGACTGTGGCATCATGATTGGAGAAAGACTCATCAACAACCTGCCTTATGCAGATGACATGGACATACCTATTGAAAGTAAGGAAAACTGAAATGCTTGCTGCAGAATACCAAAGACTACAGCCTTCTATTTGGATTACTACTCCACATTGTTGTTGTTGTTGTTATGTGCCATTAAGTCGCTAGCAACTCATAGTGGCCCTGTGTACAAGAGCCCTAAACCCTGCTCTATCCTGCACCAACCTCACTGTCTCTGACACACCTACTCCCATTATCCCAATCACTGAATTGATCCATCTCCTTGAGGGTCTTCCTTAAGAAGACAAAAATCTTCACTATTGGGGCCAATAGACAACATCATGATTGATGGAGAAAAGACTGAAGTTGTCAACAATTTCATCTATCTTGGATCCATATCAACATTCTTAGTACCAACAGCCCACGAATCAGAAGATTAATTGTGTTGGAAAAATCTGCTGTCAGTGACTTCTCCAGGGTGCTAAAGAGCAATTATGCCAATTAAAAGACTAAAGTCAGCCTGATACAAAGCATGATCTTCTTGCTGTGCATCTGAAAGTTGGACATTAACTAAGGATGCAGAAGGAAGAATTGATGACTTTGAGTTGTGTGTGGTGTTGGGAGGAGAGTGCTGAATATCACATGGACTTCTAAGAGAACAAATAGAACTGTTTTCGATAGAGTGAAAGCAGGGTGCTCCTTAGAGGCAAGAATGATGAAACTTTGTCTCACATACTCTAAGCATGTTGTTAGGAGGGACCAGTCCTTAGAGAAGGCATCATGCTTGGAAACGTGAAGGATTAGTGAAAAGTAGGAAGACCTCAACAAGATAGATTACACAATGACTGTAACAATTAGCTCAAATGTATTGGAGATGGTAAGGATGGCACAGGATAGGGCAGATTCAAATCCATTGTTCAAAGAGCTGCCTTAAGTTACAGTCGACTAGACGACAAATAAGTGTTTTCTACGATAATTATATATACCTTCACTTTTCTTTTGCTCTGATACATTAGAGTGATAAGGTTGAAATATAATTTCAAATTAATTTAAATATAAATTATAAGGAATTTTTGAGAAACACAGATGGAAGAAGTGAAAGGCTGGTATTTTGATCATACTGAGCAGTTCTACTCTGTACAAATGGGTTTGCCAGAAAAGGAATAGACTGATTGCAACTAATACCAACGTATAGTAAACTACTGTGATTTTAAAGATGGTAGTGTGTTTTTAATGCTTTTTGTTAAAATTTCCAATCACGTCTCTTTTTTTAATATTTTTAAAGGCCAAACTGTTTTCAGATAGTAGTTCAGCACTTCAGTGAAGAACATTACATCTTTTACTTTGCTGGGGAAACTCCAGAGCAAGCAGAGGTAAGATTTTAACTACTAAAAAATCTTTAGCTGTGTTCTCCTAATGAAAAATGCATTGAAAATAAAGTGATTAAAATGTGTTTAAATTTTTTAAATCTCTCATCTTTTTCTTTTAAGGACTTTTTTTTTTCTCATGGAAGTTTTGAAACAAATGTTAAAAAAAAGGTCAAGGATTATTTTATCCATTTTAAGTTGAATTTGTATGTTATATTATTAAATCAAATTGAGAATGTTCCTTTATAGTTTTCTCTTTATAAAGTGTATAGATTGTCTCAGTGTAATCTAAATGTAAACTCCAAAATTTAAAGATAAGTGTTATCGATGATCATTAATATTAATCATTGATTGAGCCCCGTATCTAAAAATACAAGTTTCGTTATCAGTAGTTAAAATACTTTAGAAACTTTCTCTTCTTTGATTTTTCTAAATCTAGTAATAATGTCTAAGTACTAAGCAATGATCAATCAGCAAGTCCTGCTAAATTTATTACACTTTACATAATTCTATGAAGTACTATTTTAAAAAAATGTTTTGTAAGGGTGTTATGTTAAATTTTATATGCCCTTTTCTGCTTAGTTACTACTTGTAACTATGGAAAGAAGCTTAAGAAAGCTAAGAAGTCAAAAGAAAGTGATAAAAAAAAAAATAGAACCTAATTTGTCATTTGAGGAAAGTGATCAAAACCCCAAACCCCAAACCCCAAACCCCACTGCTCTTGAGTTAATTCCAGCTTATCCTCCTGAAACTTTATACTGACATTCACTCTCTGACTCATAAGGTGTGAAAATTTCTTAGGTTTCAGAATAAATTTGATGAATGAGCTTTCTCATTTTATGGTTCACAGTCAAATGTCATATTTCAAATCTTTGTAAAATATTTCAACTAAATTAGCCATTTAATACACAAAATATCTCAAGTGAGTAACAATATAATACCAGCATTATAAAACTTTTTTTGTAGTTATGTATCAGATCCCATATATGAGGATGCCTGGTGGTATTTGGGTAACTGCTTGACTGTTAACTGAAAAGTCAGTGGTATGAACCCTTTAGCTGCTCCAGGTGAAAAAGGTGTTGCAGTTTATTTCTGTGACGATTATAGCCATAACAATCTTTTGGTACAGTTTAGTGCATAGAGTTACTATGATTTTGAGTAAACTGAATCATGGTGGGTTGGCATCTCAAATTTGCAGATGGGAAAAGTTGGGGGCTCAAAATATTTAGATGACTTGGTCATTATTTTAAAATATTAGAAGTTAGAAATAGACATTTAAACATCACATTGTTCTGGGATCCAGCCATTCTTTCATTTTCCCTCCACTTTTTATATGTTAAGGATGCCACCTTTCTGAATAATATTTCAGTGTATTTTGCCTCGTTCATAACAACTCATTACTCTCAAGTCTGAACCAAATTATGGCTGAACTGCCTCCAAATTTTCAGAAGCTATGAATCACAGGAGGAGTTAATGGATTCAAGCCACTTGCCTTTGGATTGGTAAAGCAGCTGCTTAACCACTAGGCCACCAAAGCTCCCTGCTGTATAAGTACAACAGTTTTAGTTGTATTCCTATATAATTTTTCTGTCTTCCATATTTTTACATACCACAGAGTATGACTTTAAATGATGTTTCAGTTTTGTGTTGATTCTTTAGTGACTATGGAGTCTGTGGTTGGTTGTTGTCACTTTTAGAAGCTATGGTAGTTAATTTGTTCTCAGTTTGTTGTATAAAGACTTCAGTATAATAGCTTAAATTCAGTGAAATAGAATTTCAACTCTTATGACTTAAAGGATATAATAAAGCAAATAGCAAGGAGTGTTCTAGAAAAAAAATGCATGTCAGCATTAATTATTTAGATTTCTTTTTAGTAAATCTAAAGTTGTTCCCTTCAAGGCAGACCACTATTTAAAAATTCTTAAAATGTAATTTTACTTGAGTATTAGACAAATAGACTTTTAAAAAATTTTATTAGATTTCGTTGTCATTGTTACGTGCCGTCGAGTTGCTTGCGACTCATAGCGACCCTATGTACAGCAGCCCTAAACTCTGTTCTGTCCTGTGCCAATCCCATTGTCTCCAACACATCCCAATTGCCCCAGTCACCAAATCAATCCATCTCCTAGAGGGCCTCCCCATCCTGCGCCTGCCCTCCACCCTCCCAAGCATGATGTTCTTTTCCACGGACCAGTCTCTCCTTACAACGTGACCAAAGAATGTCAGACAAAGCCTCAGAATCATTGCCTCCAAGGAGCAGCCCAGTTTAACCCTCTCCAGGATGAATCTGTTTGTTTTCTTAGCAGTTCATGGTACCCTCAATACTCTTCTCCAACACCAGAGCTCAAAGGCATCAATTCTCCTTCTATCCTCCCTAGTCATTGTCCAACTCTCTGACATGTGATTGCAAAGACCATGGCCTGTATCAGACACACTTATTCTCCAGAGAGACACCGTTGCTCTTCAGTACTTTAGAGAGGTCCCTAACTGCAGACTTTCCCATGGCAATACGTCTTTTAATTTTCTGCCTACTGATGGCAAGATTGTGGAGCCAAGCAGCCTAAAGCTCTGAACAATCTCAATCTCTTCACCATCCTTCCTGATGCTGCCAATTGGTCCAGTGGTGAGAATCTTTGTCTTCTTGACATTGAACCTCAATCCATGTTGAAGGCTGCAGTCCTTGACCTTCTGCAGCAGGTGCTTCAGGTCCTCCTCAGTTTTAGCAAGCAGGGTTGTGTCATCTGCATAACGCAGATTGTTGATAGATCACATATCATAATTTGATCTTGTAGTCAGTACTTTAAAAAAAAAAACTTACCAAATTAATGCTTTAGAGTACCTTAAGTAACAGCTTAAAAATACACAAAAAACCCCACCAAACCTATTGCTGCTTCATCTGTTCTAACTCATGGTACCCTGTGTGCTGCATCGTCAGACTGCTCTAGAGGGTGTTGTTGACTGTAATTGTGAAGCACATTGCCAGATCTTTCTTCTAAGGCACTAGTTAAGCAGCCAATTGCAACCTGCTTGTACCAGGACCTGCTTAAGATAAACAGAAGTATTTTTTTTACTTGTTTAAGGTAGGATCTGCTTGAGAGAAATAGTCTCTTTATATTTTGGCTAATTAAAGACCATTCATGGATGTTCTTAATTTAGAGATTCTATAGTAATAGGATTCTTAAAAATTATAATTGTGGTTATTGTATTAGGTCACATATAATAAAGCATAGTACACTCTTAGAAATGGCTGTCAAAAAAAAAAAGAAATGGCTGTCAAGGAAAAAGTATTGAATTTTAGAGACTAATAGATGATTTATAACTGAATCAACTAATTTCTTTGAAATGCTGTTATTTTTGTAGGACTGGATGAAAGGTCTGCAGGCATTTTGCAATTTACGGAAGAGTAGTCCAGGGACATCTAATAAACGACTGCGTCAGGTGAAACATTCTTTTCTTTCATGTGTTATTGTTGCATTGTGTTCTGTTTGCGCTTTATGTTTTTATTTCTTTGTGAATTAGATTAGACAACATCTTCAAACACTTCAGAATCTTCTGGAAGTTTAAACTATGTTAAAGCCATGCTTTTGTTTATAGCTTTTCTGTTTATACCTTGGATAGAAATAGAAAAATTTGGGACTTTGAGTAAATTTTAATATAGTATTATTGTTGTTGTTGTTGTTATGTGCCATTGAGTCGCTTGCAACTCATAGTGACCCTATGTACAACAGCCCTAAACTCTGCTCTGTCCTGTGCCAATCGCACCGTCTCTGACACTCCCAACCCAATTATCCCAGTCACTGAATCAATCCACCTCATAGAGGGCCTTCCCCTCCTGTGCCTGCCCTGCACCCTCCCAAGCATGATGTCCTTCTCCAAGAATTGGTCTCTCCTTACAACATGACCAAAGTATGTCAGACGAAGCCTCAGAGTCCTTGTCTCCAAGGAGCAGCCCTGTTTAACCCTCCCAAGGATGAATCTGTTTGCCAAGAGTGTTGACTGTGGAGCCAAGCAGACTAAAGCTAAGAACAATCTCAATCTTCACCATCCATCCTGATGCTGCCAATTGGTGCAGTGGTGAGAATCTTTGTCTTCTTGACATTGAACCTCAATCCATGTTGAAGGCTGCAGTCCTTGACCCTCTGCAGCAAGCGCTTCAGTTCCTCCTCAGTTTCAGCAAGCAGGGTTGTGTCAGCAGCATAACACAGATTGTTGATAGATCTTCCACCAATCCTGATGCCGCATTTCTCCTCATAGAGCCCAGCCTCCCAGATGATCTGTTCTGCATACAGGTTGAAAAGGTGTGGAGACAGGAGATATCCCTGGCATACGCCCTTCCCAATTTTGAACCATGTAGTGTTTCCTTGCTCTGTTTTGACGACTGCCTCTTGGTCCAAGTATAGGTTTCGCATTAACACGATCAAGTGTTCTGGGATACCCATTCTTCTCAGAGTCAACCACAGTTTGTTATGATCCACACAGTCAGATGCCTTTGCATAATCAATGAAGCACAGATAGATTTCTCAGGTACTCTCTGCTTTCAGCCAAGATCCATCTAACATCAGCAACAATATCCCTAGTACCACGAACCCTTTTAAACCCAGACTGGACTTCTGGCAGTGCTCTGCTGATGTGCTGTTCCAGTCATTTTTGGATAATCTTCAGCAGAATCTTGCTTGCATGTGAAATCGATGATATTGTTCTATCGTTTCCCCACTCTGTTGGGTCACCTTTCTTTGGAATGGGGCCAAATATAGATCTCTTCCAGTCACTTGGCCAAGTGGTTGTTCCCCAGATTTCTTGACACAACTTGGTGAGCATGGAAGAAAAGACCAAAATGGATGTCAAAAGAAACTCTGTGAATATTGCACTAGAGCACAGAGAAGCCAGAATACAAGGAAGAATTCAAGATACTAAGGAGCTGAACAGAAGATTCCAAAAGGCAGCGTGGGATGACAAAGTAAAATATTACAGTGAAATGTGTAAGGAGCTAGAGTCAGAAATCAAAAGGGCTGAACTCGCTCAGCATTTCTTAAGCTCAAGGAACTGAAGAACAAATTCAAACCTTGAGTCGCTATAATCAAGGATGCTTTAGGCAGAATATTAAATGATCCAGGAAGTAGTAAAAGAAGATAGAATATACTGAGTCACTGTATCGAAAGAAATTGGCAGACACAGAAGAATTTAAAGAAGCAACATATGAGCAATAGCCTATGGTGATGAAGGAAATTCAAGATGCTTTGAAGGAGATAGCAAAAGATAAGGCCCCAGGAATAGTATTTATTGAAGAAGGTAAATATTGTTCTGTCATAGAAATTCCAGTAAACCCATTGAAAGTAGTATATTTTTTTCTACTGGGAGTGGAAAAATTGTTACTATAAAGAGTTACTAAATAAACATGTAACCAAAATGCTGACTCTTCCTTCAAGAACATTTAATCATACAAATAATCTGTTTCCTCAAAATATAGCTTTCTGTAATCTATGACAAATCAGAATGAATTTTTTCCAAAAATAGAAAACTCTTTTTTGTGTGAAACTTTACAATAAAATTATCATCTGTAAATATAATGTGATAAAATTATAAGTAACATACTTGACATTTTTTCTAATCTTTATAAAAAGCTAAATATAAACTTTATTCTTTATTTTATATGAGTGAAGTGAGGTATTAGAGATGTTTTTATAAGGCCGCACAAATAGTAGATGGCTGGAGAGGAAGAAGGATGAGATTGATGATCGAACTTGTCACCACAACTCCTGACAAATAATTTAGCTTGTTTGGATTCATGTCTTTTTCTGTATAATGAGGGGGTAGAGTCAATATTTTAATAGCATTTTATATATATATAATCATTTGTGTGTGTGTTTGTGTATACCGTCAAATCACATCTGACTGGTACAGGAGGAGATTGTCCCTCATTCTCCAGCAGAGCATCTGATGGATTCGAAGCACATACCTCTGGGATTGCAGTGCAGCTTCTTGCCACTAGGCCACCAGAGCGTCCTTATTTTTAATAGTATTTTTTATCAGCAGTAAGAACTTTTATAGAAATAGTGTTCCTACTTTTTAACTCTATTCATTGGAAAAGGTATATTTTTCCCAAGAATATAATTGAGTAATAACTTATAAAATAAAATACTTTTTTTTTTAGGGATAACATAATTAAACTTCATTTCTAAGAAGGAAAAAAAAGTGCCTTGGACTTTTGCTTTCTATAGCCATTGCGTTTGAAACCTACTGCATATTTTTGGTATCTGGGTAACTTTGTTATTTTTTGTTTAGGTCAGCAGTCTTGTTTTACACATTGAAGAAGCTCATAAACTCCCAGTGAAACATTTTACTAACCCATACTGTAACATCTACTTGAATAGTGTCCAAGTAGCAAAAACTCATGCAAGAGAAGGGCAAAACCCTGTTTGGTCAGAAGAGTTTGTCTTTGAGTAAGTCTTGTTTTATCATTACATTAAACAATTTCATTGTGCTATATTGCATTTCTTCCTATATTTGCCTGTATATCTACATTGTCAGAATTAAGTTGCCAGAGTCAGGTCTTTTAACAGTATAGAAAGTGATTTTTCTATTGTGATTTGCACATTTTTATTAGTAAAATGCTAAGTTACTGTTTGTTTTTTTTTATTGAGTTAGTGATGTGACTTAACATTATTGATAAGTCCAAAACTTGTTAAAACTTACACAAAATCTGTACTAGAACTTCTAGGACTTGAAGAAATTGTTGCTGCTTTAAGAGATTCAAGAGGGAAGGGAAAGGAGGAGGGAAAATTTGCTTCACTGTTTTCCTGCAAAACTCACTGCCATTTGTTGAAAGTGACAATCCAGGACAGAATAGAACTGAGTTGTCAGATTTCCAAGGCAGTCTTGCAGAAGTGGACTCTCATACTTTTGGTTAGCTGTCCACGGCACCATAAGTGTTCCTCGTGTTTACCAAATCATAATGCATGTAGTATACTTTTAATATTTTTAAATGTAGCACACTCAAGATGCTTAACAAAACAAGAAGCTTACTTAATACCAATATTAAAGTAAATCAGAAGGTTTGGTGCTGGAACATTTTGTTAATTCTGTTTATCCTTACTCTTTAGTGATCTTCCTCCTGACATCAACAGATTTGAGATAACTCTTAGTAACAAAACAAAGAAAAGCAAAGATCCTGATATCTGTAAGTTGATAAAAATTTTTTTCCTAAAGTAACGTTTTTCATGTACATACTTTGAGATAATATATATACTTTTCATAATGAAATATAATCTTGAAATGAAAGCAGAAAGTAAACTTATAAGTACATGTAATTTGAGAGTTTCCTTTTCATACCTTTTTCCAGAGCATTCTATACCTAGAAAAAGAAAAAAGACCAAAATTGCTTAACTGTACATATTATAAACTTAGCTCTTTAAGTTGAAAATACTTATCTATCTACTCTCCTGAATCCTTTGCCCCCAGCAAATAAAACAGTAATAACGCTAAAATGGTAACAGTGACTATCTCTCTGCGGTCTCCCTTACCTTCTTTCTACATTTTAAGTTACTATTCATTTAACTATGTTGTTGTTGTTTTTAGGTGCCTTTGAGTTGACACAGCTTATAGTGACCTTAATTTATAGTGACCTTGACAACAACAGAGCTGAACCTTGCCCTGTCCTATGCCATCTTCACGAACTCTGATATGCTCAAGCCAGCTGTCACAGTCACTGTGCTGGTCCATCTTGTTGAGGGTGTTCTTCCCTCTCCCTTCCCTTTACCTCTTTCAGCATGATGTCTTTTTCTCAAGAACAAATATCTCTTCTAAATATAAGCATGCTAAGGGAAAGCTTTACTATAGATAACATATAAGTCTTTTGTAAATTGGCTGAAAAGAGCACACTCTATTAAAAAATATATTCTTTAAACTAGAGCGCACACTCTATTAAAAAATATATTCTTTAAACTAGAGCATTTAATTCACTTAGAGTCATCATAGCCTCCCAGTTCTTGCTCTTGGTAGTATACCTTTTTCAGTCCTTTTGCTGAAACAGTTGCCAGTGGGTTTTAGCAGTTCACAACAGGGTAAATTAGGTTAATACCATCTTAAAATTGAAGCACAGAGAAGGAAGTAATCATATGTATTAAAGATCAAAGTCAGAATTTTTCTCTGTAAAATGTTTATTCTTTAATTTTGGTACTACTTAAATACTTGTCATTTTGTAGGGTGGGCTTGCTTTAAAGATAAAGTTCAGAATGTCGGTAATGAAACAGCTAAGGAAGGCCCTGATAAAATCGCCACCATCCCTCCACTAACACTACAATCTTTTGTATATACTTCCTACAAAGACATCCTTCCTTCTAGTTCTTAAATTTTCCATGGCCTTTTTTTTTAATATAGTTTATATAATCAGACATAGGGTATTCTATTTCTTCTATTTATACTCTACTTTTATGAGACATTGGCAAAGTATGTATACAGATGCCAGTGTTAGGGATTTAATAAGAAAAAGCATTTCCAGGGTGTGTTATATAATTAAAGTCATACTTCAATCCAATCCTTAAAAACCTTCCACAGCTTTTAAAAACATCTGTCATGCTTTCTATTTGGAATCTGTACTGACCTTCTTCCTCTCCCCCCTTGTTGTCCTCCCTAACTGTTATCTCTAGATCTTGCTAAAAGTTAGTTGAAGGAGCTACCTGTATGGTCTGTATTAGCCTTCTTAAACTAAATTAGATATTATTTCTCTATACTTCTATGGTATAGTACTAAAAGCTATACTATAGTAGATTTCCTTCTGCCTTAATCATATTTGTATCTTATGTACTTGTCACAGCACAGCTAGCTTTATTATGTCATTGAAAACTCTTAATAAAAAGCATTTAATACTATAGGGACTAGCATCATAAACATTCACTTTTATTACTAATTATAGTATCTTTTCAGAAAGTAATCATTTGACAATATTTTTCTGTCTTAAGTATTTATGCGATGCCAGTTGAGTCGATTACAGAGAGGGCATGCCACGGATGAATGGTTTCTGCTCAGCTCCCACATACCATTAAAAGGTATTGAACCAGGATCCTTGCGTGTCCGAGCACGATATTCTATGGAAAAAATCATGCCAGAAGAAGAGTACAGTGAATTTAAAGAGGTATTCACATATTTACCAGTCTAATTTTTTGTGACATTATTAACGGAAACATTTAGTAAAAGATCTATTAACCTAAATATAATAATTTTATATCCTAATGGCCAATGAACAGTTAGAAAATTTTTTTTAAAAAGCCTTACAGTTGTGTGAGGTTTACTGTAAGAGGCTATAGTTGCATATTTTTAAATGAATTTGTCTTACTAAAACTGCATAATGCTTTGTACTTTGTCTTTCTTAATGTCATTTTTAGCTTATACTGCAAAAGGAGCTTCATGTAGTCTATGCTTTATCGCATGTATGTGGACAAGATCGAACACTATTGGCTAGCATTCTGCTAAGGATTTTTCTTCATGAAAAGCTTGAATCATTGTTGCTATGTACACTAAATGACAGAGAAATAAGCATGGAAGGTATTGTATGACTTTGTTAGTGTGATACTTTTAAAAATGGTGTTAATTTGGATGCTCTTAGTTTTTAGTGTATTACATAGTTAAGCCATCTTAACAAAATACATTATTCTGTTTCTTCCATTAAAACTGGTAGTTGAAATGCTAGTTTTTACTTTTATGTTGGCCTATGTTGTCTAGCAAAGGCGTTTGACTGTGTGGATCATAACAAACTGTGGCTGACTCTGAGAAGAATGGGAATCCCAGAACATTTAATCGTGCTAATGTGACACCTAAACTTGGACCAGGAGGCAATTATCAGAACAGAGCAGGGTAACACTGCATGGTTCAAAATTGGGAAGGGTGTACATCAGGGATGTGTCCTGTCTCCATACCTTTTCAACCTGTATACAGAGCAGATTATCCGGGAGGCTGGGCTCTATGAGGAGAAGTGGGCCGTCAGGATTGGTGGAAGATCTATTAACAGTCTGCGTTACGCAGATGATACAATCCCGCTTGCTGAAATTGAGGAGGACCTCATGCAATTGTTGCAGAGGGTCAAGGACTGCGGCCTTCAGTATGGACTGAGGCTCAATGTCAAGAAGACAAAGATTCTCACCACTGGACCAATTGGCAGCATCAGGATGGATGGCGAAGAGATTGAGATTGTTCACAGCTTCAGTTTGCTCGGCTCCACAGTCAACACTCTTGACACCAGCAGCCAGGAAATAAAAAAATGTATTGCGATGGGAAAGTCTGCTGTTAGGGACCTCTCTAAAGTACTCAAGAGCAACAGTGTCTCTCTGGAGACTAAGGTGTGCCTGATACAGGCCATGGTCTTCGCAGTCACTTGTTATGCATCAGAGAGTTGGACAATGACTAGGGAGGATAGAAGTAGAATTGATGCCTTTGAGCTGTGGTGCTGGAGAAGAGTATTAAATGTACCATGGACTGCCAAGAAAACAAACAGATTCATCCTGGAGAGGGTTACCTTGGAGGCAAGGATTCTGGGGCTTCGTCTGACGTACTTTGGGCATGTTGCAAGGAGGGACAGGTCCTTGGAGAGGGACATAATGCTTGGTACGGTGGAGGGACGGCGCAAGAGAGGAAGACCCTCTATGAGGTGGATTGATTCAGTGACTGGAGTAATCGGGGTAGGGGTGTCAGAGGCAGTGCGATTGGCACAGAATAGAGCAGGGTTTAGGGCTGTTGTACATAGGGTCACTATGGGTCGCAAATGACTTGATGGCACATAACAACAGCAACATATTGTTTAGTATTTCTAACAGGCGTTTTTATCATGGTGAGTTAAAGTTAAAAAGAAACTATAAGAAAGTCACTTATCTGTCAGGGTCAGTAGACTGTCATTCTTGATTATCAAGGATAATTTGGTCTACTTACCAACCTGTTTTCTTTTTCACTTACTGATATATTGCACAGTAGTTGGTGTGAGCTGCATTTTATTTTTCGCTTGAGTAGTTCTCAGGCAGCATAGCTAGACACACAGCTTTGAAAACACCTCACAATTATGTCAGAGTAACCTGTTTTCCCTCACCACTTTGACTCGTTAACAGGGCTTCTTTCTAGGTTTCCCAAGTGAACTAATGCCTAGAGCTATTTCCTTTAAATATTATGTTAATCAAGGAATGAATTTAATGGTGGTACATATTTTAAACTCAGTCTTTTCTGTAATAATATGTCTTACTAAAATTTTATTAAAACTTTTTCATTAGTAGTTACATTTAAAGTTTATTAATTAAATTGATATTTTGTTTATTCTTATTCTGTGAATTAAAAGAGATGCTTAAAAGCACAAGATCATTGGACAGCAAGCAGGATCAGTCTTAGTTTTATCATTAAATGGCTCTTTGATTGTAGATTAATCACTAACCACTAGGAACTTTTGAGTTTTTGTTTCTGTCTTCATGATGCACATTGAGATTTGAATCATTTTTCTCTTATTTCTGATCTATGAGTTAATGAGTATGAAAGTCCTTTGCAAAGTAAATCTGGGAAGATACAGAATATCATTAACATCAATATTCCAGTGCTGTAGTAAGTATTTAAATAGTATTGATTGTCTAGTAGGTAAGGAAAATGAATTCATTTCATCATCTTTGGTTATTTTAGTAAATCCTTCCTTTACAAAGAAACTTTTACTCTATATATGTATTTTTTTTTTAAATAGATGAAGCCACTACTCTATTTCGAGCCACGACACTTGCAAGCACCTTGATGGAACAGTATATGAAAGCCACTGCTACTCAGTTTGTTCATCATGCTTTAAAAGACTCTATTTTAAAAATAATGGAAAGCAAGCAGTCTTGTGAGGTGAGAATATAATATTAAATATTTGAGCAGAGAACACGCTTTAATAGGTAATGCTTTATAGTTAATTACATTTCACAGAAATTACTGTTAGCTTTCTAAAACTATCCGTCAAAGCACTTATATCCTCTGTAATTAATTTGTAAAAATGTCATGCAAAGCAGATTTTTAGCAAGGTTTTATGATATTAGGCTTAAAAATCATCAAGTTGCTGAATGGAACCTTCTAAAAATTAAGTCCCTCTGCACATCAAAACCATTTCTCAAAAGAAAACATACTGTGGAAAAACATTTTGGCAATACCGTCTCAGACAAAGTTTAAAGAATCCTACATGGCCACAAGAAAAGGACTGATAACCCAGTTACAAAGTAGGCAAAAGATATCAAAGTACCTTTCACAGAGGAAGATACTTGGATGGCTAACAGACACATGAAAAAATGTTCAGAATTACAATAAGAGAAATTAAAATCAAAACCACGGTGAGATACCATCTAACCCTAGTAGCAGTGGCAAAGTTTAACAGGACAGTAAGTAATAAATGTTGGAGAGGATGTGGAGAGATAAAGAAACTCTTACACACTGTTGATGGGATTGTAAAATGGTGCAACCACACTGGAAGGCAGTTTGGTGTTTTCTCCAAAAGCAGAACATAGACATTCCATATGACCCAGCTCTTCCACTGTTTGGAATATATGCTAAGAAATTTAGAACTGAGACACAAACAGATTTGTACACAAGTGTTCATAGCAGCATTTTTCACCATAGCAAGAACATGAAATAAGCCCAAATGTCCAACCACAGTTGAATGGATTGAGAAATTATGGTACATTCAAACAACAGAATACTGCTCAGCACGCAGGAGTAATGATTTTGAAAATTACTACCTATCTTGAGAGGGACTGGAGAGTATTATGTTAAGTAAACGAATTCAGTCCCATAAGGACAAATACTCTTTAAGACCATTATTGTAGAAATAGACAATTGTAAAACAGGTAAGAGGATCCAAAGGAGGGAAGGAAGGAGCAGAGAAGTGAGGATTGGCAAGGGCATAATCATAGGGTCGCACAATTTGATAGGCAGACGGAGTAGTGGGTAAAGGAAATGGGAAAGATCCAGAGTGAAAATCATGTATACTAACTTTGTAAGCAAACCAGTATAAAATAAAAAATTAGAAAATAAAAAGCAAACATCAAGTTGAAATAGAAACTCATGAAAGTACTTTGTCATTTTCCCTATCCTCTTTTCAGAAAATGTGTAACAAAGTGAAGGAAGGTTCTGCTGGAGAGTTTTATTGTATAACCTAGTTAAGTTTTGTGTAACAGTTCTCATTATCGAGGTTCTTGAAAGTTTTTTTGAAGGCAGTTCATGTAGATTGATAGCCATCAAATACTCAAATCTGCACTGAATTGCCAATTTTTACTAATAAAGTAAGGGGAAGAAAGGGGAATAAATTAAGTGATTTTGTATTGGAAGCCTCTAGTAAGTTGACCTTACCATGAAAGATGATATAGAAATATCCAGGCTAGGGAATTTAGAGATCTGTAGATGAATTAGTGCTAAGGAGTTGCACTGCTCTCCCAAAGGTACATGATTTCAATCCACCAACTACTGCATGAGAAAAAGATGGGCAATCTCCTCCCTTGCTGTTAACTGTCTCTTGAAAACTCGCTGGAGGGTCAGCCATGGGTTGGTTCTGACTGAAGAGCACATAACAACAGCAGTAGATAAATCTATAGAGAATCCCCTTCTTTTGATTTAATGCCTCTGAAAACCCAGTGGAGGTTTAGCTGTAGGTCATTTCCAACAACATTCCATTGATAATAGTTTGGGCTAGTGGAAAAGGGTTTTCTTTGTAAAGCATTTAGTATTAAATAAGACTCACCTTCATTCCAAAAGCTTTTATATTAATGGTTTTGCTTTTTATTTGCCCCTAAAATGAATAGAACTAATCTAGATTATATAGTGGAGGTTAGGGATTCTTGAAATACTTCTATACATTTGTGAAATGTAAAAAAGCTGTGGTTATGTTTTTTTTTACTTCTGAGAATCCTGTATTTAAAATTAACAACATGAAAAAGTACTGTCCAATTTTGTGTGTGTACAAAAATATGTTGCAAATTGTTGTTGAATAGAAAGAAACATTAGGGTTTTCCCCAAAACAACTGAAATGTATACTTTCTGCTTGCTATTAAGTTAGTTAATAGGGAATGAATCGTTAATAAGACCTCTAAGACTTCCATGTTAATTAATCCTTTCCATTGATTTGGAACTGACTCATAACTGACCCCCCCAATGAGTTTTCAGAGGCTACAAATTTAAGGGAAGAGATTGCCTGTTTACCTCCTACAAAGAATCAAGAATTCACCATCTGCTCATCATGTGATTTATGGAAGAAAGATGGACAATCTCTTCCGGTGTGATTTACCTCCCTCTCAAAACCACTTCTGACTCAGTAGTACACAAGAACAACAATCTGCAAGTGTTCCATAGAGCAGACTATTTAAATAGTTCCACTTCAAAAAAAGATGATTTTTAAAAATAGAAAAGTAGCAGTGAAAACTATCGCTGTCTTTGTTTATTTGCAGTTTTCATTGCCAAGATGCATTTATGTTGATTTATTTCCTCTCTTAGTTAAGTCCATCAAAGTTGGAAAAAAATGAAGACGTGAACACTAATTTAGCACACCTATTGAACATACTTTCAGAGCTTGTGGAGAAAATATTCATGGCTTCAGAAATACTTCCACCGTAAGTGGTGAAATATTTTAATTTGACAAATTGGATATCTGCATTTGTAAAAGAAAAGTTTCTTTCTGAAACATGTAAATGCTTTTCTGTTGTCCCAAGGCTCTTGGACTCTGCAGAAGTTAACAGTTTTTTATCTTTATATGATGGACTGTATTTGAGAAAAATAGTGAATTAAAACTAGAGTTAAATAATCTAATTGAAACAAAACATGCTTTTATGCAGGCCATTGTATCTGGTACATGTAATAACTGGGGTCATGAATAGAGGGTTGTAGTCTCAGATTTGGGAGACTGTAAAAAGACATGACATTCTATTCATTTTATACTTTAATTTCTTTACACACTTACTAATCTGATCCTTCAGCATCAGTTTAAAGGCCACCTACGTTAGTGAACTCTTTTGTTCAGGTAGAAGTTAACGTCTGTTAATTAAAAATCTGTCTCCTTGAAACCTGTATTTATTAATCTCTGTAGTCTTTTCCAAATACTTGCTTCATACTTTCATTAACGTTTTTTCCAGAGTAAATGTTAAGATGTTAAATAAATTGTTGAAAACATTTATAATAATATTCTTATCCTTTGCTGAAATATAACATATAACTTTCAGCAAATTAAGTTTTTTGAAAGAAAAGACCAGTTACCTTAAAATGTCATATATTCAGGCAAATTTATAGTTAAATGGCTTCCTTTGTTTTAATTCTTGCTTCACAGGGATTTGTATTTTCACTTGCTTTCTGAATTGAAGTAATTGTGTTGTTTTGGCAGGACACTGAGATATATTTACGGGTGTTTACAGAAATCTGTTCAGCACAAGTGGCCAACAAATACCACCATGAGAACCAGAGTTGTTAGGTAAGGCTAGTCAATTCATTTGTTACATTGTTGTATAAAAACATAAGCTAATTTTGAAAATTAGAATAATGGCATTTGGTGTCCTAGTGGTAAGAAACTGTGCTGTGATACGAAAGGCACACAGTTCAAATCCACCAACTGCTCTCTGGGAGAAGGATTGACAGTCTCCTCCCATGTGATTTGCTGCCTCCGAAAACCTGTTGGACGATCAGCTCTGAGTCAGTTCCAGATCCATAGCACACAACAGCAGCATACAAATCAAGACTTTTTTTTAGCTTAATGTCAGTGCTTTTTTAGTGATTTTTTTATCTTCTGTATTTTTTAAAGATCAAATTTTGTGGTTTTTGGTACATTTTATGTGGTGGTTTTACTATCCTAGTCATTTAACTATTTGAGACCTAGCTTAATAAGTGAACTTAAAAATTCATAAGTTACAAAAATCTATAGCTAACTAGCACTTCTGATGGCCTAATCCATAGGGTGTTGGGCGTCTAACCCAGAGTTGTAGCCAACTTCATAAAATTCCCCCACTACCTACTCTATACATAATCAGTTTGGTGCTAAGTGGAAAGAGCAAAATACGGCATTTTCTATTGGTTTGCAATAGCCTGATTCCAGGCTCTTCAATGAGAGACTCTAGTTCTGAAGGAAGCTCTCAATTTTACTCTTCCCACTGTTGAGTAAGGAGAATGAATTGCTTTGGCAGGCCAAGAAATTTTAGCACTTATATAAAGGGACCTCACTATTATTACTTTAACTTATTTTTCTAATGAAAAAGTAGATCTCGAGAGGTTAAATGGTTTGCCTAAGGTTATAAAAAAGTTAATTTACAAAGGCAAAACTAAAAGCAAATCTTGTAAGATGCAGTATTTTATCCTTAAGTATACTGTAGATTTTTGTTAGAGACCTAACTCATTTAAAGTAATTGGAAGTTAAGTGCAAAAGCACTGGTGAACACAGTAGAATTTCATAGTGTATTATTTTATATATAACATAAATTTTATAATTTAATATTAGTGCCTAATAATATATGAAGTTATACATAATATTGTATGAAGTTAGCTATAGATTTTGGTTAGTAGCCCAACACCCTTTGGAGTAGGATCTAGAAGTCCTAGTTAGCTGTCGATTTTTATTGGGTATGGACAACAGCATAAAGAATGCTACTTTCTTTGGGCATGCTTCTGGGCTTGAGTTTGGGCCAATGAGATAATCTTGAAGAGAGTTTAAAGTTTGGTGGGTGATCCTTATTCCAGTTTGTTGTTTTTTATATCACTTATGTGCCTAAAACACCTATGCATTTCAGGATTGAGGCACTTATTTAGGTCCAGTGTTACTGCTTCCCTGCCTTTGATTGGATAGGGCCTGATCTTAGCCACTTTGTTTGACCTCTACCTTCTTTTGGCACCTCAAATGACTTTTTTAAAAAACTGCTATCTCCTCTAACTTTCTTTGCACTCACGTTCATCTTATGCCTGATTTGGCCCTAACATTCCCCCTGAAGAGTTTGAGCCTTTAAAAACTTAGAGCTTTACATGATGATCACTCTAAGTACTGCATTCTGGAATTGGACATTGTCCTGCCTCTGAATTTGTCATCCAACTTCTGTGGGGTTATATTGTCATATTTTATGTCAGACAAATTTATTCAGCCACTATAGATACCAGTATGATAATTTTTTTTAAAAATGTATGTTATTTATACTACCCCATCTAAATTTTATAGTTTTCACATTTTGGAAGCAAAACTAACTTACGTTAGTTTTGGTATGAATATTTAAGAATTGTGAACACTTTTTCTTGGAAAGTAACACAAGCATACTAGCAAGTTTTATTTCACCATATTTGTAAATGAAAACTTTTCTGTTATCCATAACTTTCTAGCAAGTGTAATTGTTAAGCATATATTCAGGAATCCTACTGTGTGCCTTTGTTGATGGATGGGGTGTTATAAGGGGCATTCAGGCATGATTTTTAGGCCATTAAATGCTTTTTAATATGTATAGCCACCTATATTTCTCTCTCAAATTGAGCAGGACCTGTAGAGATTTTAAAAAGTATTTTCACACTGAAAATATTTTCTATGTCAATATTTTATATGCAAAGATTTGTGTCAGAATGTTTCCAGCAAAATGTATGTAAGGTTCATAAATTGAAAGAAATAAAAATTTGAAGTCTTAATTGTTGTTGTATAATTATTATAAATGCTGTCTGAGAAAAATACTAATTTTGTTAAAGTCAAAAAATTAGCAAACTGTCATAGTTTCAAAGGTCAAATGTTTAGAAGATCAATTACTCATTCATAATTTGGTGTTTACTTTTATACCAATATTGGTTTTGCTATTTTGTGATTTGATTTTTAAATTTATAAAGCCTGATTTCTTTTTACTTTACATGCTTTTCAATGTTCTGTAGTTGTTGTTAAGTGCCATCAAGTCAAGTATGACTCACGGAAACCCTATGAAAAAAAGATCTAAACCCTATTGTATAACTGCTGTTGTTTCTCTAGTGTTCATAGGGTTTTCAAAGAACTGTTACTAATGTAGGAGACATTCAATCCTGATTCCTTGTCTGTCTTACCAGGGAGCAGCACCAAAACCTGTCCACCATGAGTTAGCCTTGTGGCATTTTACACACCACTGGCACAGATTTCAGTATCACATCAACCCCAAGTTATCTCAGTACTTCAAACTGATGGACAAGTTCTGTACCACTTAGAACAAGGTTCTTCCGAAACACAGTTTACACTTGACTCAACATTATATAGTGTACCTTTTTATTTATCAAGATGGTTATTTTCTCATGAAATGAATTATTACTTTTATATGATGCATCATCAAAATAAAAATAACCAGCTAGATTTAGAGAATACTTTATCAGCTGTTATTTAAGTAAAAGAGAAGTGAGAAAATGGAAATTTGGAACCATTATAAGATGAAGGATGAACTAGCTATAAAAAAGGTTTACTAGTATTTCTGTAGTATTAACAGAAAATTTCAGAATTCCCAAAGACATTGATTCTTCAGCATGTACATATAAGGTGCATTTCTAACTGGTTGCCATAAAACTGATTCTTACTAATGACGATTCCATGTGTATCAGTATAATTAATTGTGCTCCACAGGGGTTTCAACTGACTGTTTTTTTGTGGCAAGAAAGTTGATTGCCAATGCTTTTTTCCTGAATTGCTCTGGGTGTATGCAGACAACCAGCCTTTCAGTTAGCTGCTAATAAGCACATTAACTGGACAAACCACAGACTATGTTAACCTGGATTAAGTGATGATCCGGATAGTAAAAGATACAGATATCATTTAGCATCTCCCCAGAGTAAATCTGAAATCCTCATACAGGGAAACTTAAGAAACATTCATATGTTTTAAAAATAAAATATTTGTAATTATTATTTTTTTAAAACTGTGTTTATGTTTCCCTGTAATTTAGAGGAAGTGCAGTCAGGGTGCTTTTGAAAGGAAAAGGTGACGGTACTTTGTCTCACATACTTTGGGCATGCTGTCAGGACAGGCCAGTCCTTGGAAAGATACCTTGTTGAAAAAGACAGAAAATCAGGGCGAGGAAGACCCTCAACAAGTTGGAATGACACAGTGACTGCAGTAATGGACATGAGCGTATCAAAGATCATGAGGATGGCACAGGCTAGGGCAGTTCTCATCCTTGGTTCATAGGGTTGCTATGAGCTGTAATGAACGTGACTGCACTTAAATAATAGAAACACCAGAAGCATAGTTTCAAAATAAAGTTTATGGTTCTATGGACTTGTAAAAAATAATTCTTATATAGAAATATTAATGTACTATAACATATATCCAGTGGTTTTCTAAAGAAAATAACTTTTTCTCCCATCCAGTGGTTTTGTTTTTCTTCGACTTATCTGTCCTGCTATCCTGAATCCACGGATGTTTAATATCATCTCAGGTAACCAGAATATGGGATTTTTTTTTACTTCGGGCGGTGGGGGAGTTTATTCCCTCACCAACTCCAAGATAGCTTTTGATAAATTTTGAAATTTGAAAGAATAAATAGATTCATACTATTTAAATACTTAAACTATTTTGTTATTAAGTCTGATAGATAATACCTAATCTGTAATTCCATGGTTGATGATAAAACTTTCCAAATGGCTCTTCCTCGTCTTTTTTCCTTCTTTTGCTTTTCTTTCCATCTAATATTTGGAGCCTGTGATGCCATGATGAGAAATATCCCATCTTTTCTCACCTTTCCTTACTATGTCTCAAATTCTGGTGATGGATGGCAGTCTGGATCCCAATTTTGAATTTGGGAAGCTTTCTGTGCAGTTACTCTATGCTAGATAACTGTCAGTAAGATTGCAAACTAGAGCTTAAAAAGGAGTTGTCATGATGCTCTAAGTATGAACATATAGTCCTGGTTTTCCTTACTGACAATTCTTAGTTCTGTAATGTTGATTGGTCCTTTACAGAATGGCTTTTAGATGATGTAGGCTTTAAGGAGAGTGATATTTGTGACATGGAATATAGTATTAGCACAAGTCACAGAACTATTTTTATTTTAATAAATTGAAAATTAAAGTAGTACTTAAAAATATTTCAGAAAATTCTTACTTTTAGGGCCACTATATCACTATAATTGTCTTTTGCTCTACTAAAGTGACTGTCTTAAGAATGAATGGTTTGGACCTCTCTTCCATATTCTCTTTAGGAATGTAACTTTCTAATAAATCTATCTTTATTATTTTGCTTTAAAAAAATGAAGGGTTTGAATGTCCTTCGGATTTATTTATAGATATATGTACCTGATTGACGGCTTTTGGACTAGTAGACCACACTATTTATGGTTGCTAGTTAAAATAAAAAGAATAAATTCATCTAAAGTCAAGCAATCAAGTAGATTCTGATTTTTTACTGTTAAAAAAGAATCTTAAGTTTCAGAGCTTAAATTCAGTAGTCTCAGACACAATTTTTTTTTTCCATCTCAGTGTATATACTCTATAAGAAAATACTTCCTGGCTAATCTCTTAAGAGGGTATTAATATTCCTGTTTTTCCTCAAAAATGAAGCTGCAGTTCTTGATAAATTCTTACTTTTGCTTTTGAGGTTTAGAGCAAGTGATCTGCACTTAGTAGAGGTTGTGAACATAAAATGGCTCGGATTGCATATTGCTAACCTAAGTGGGTTGAAATCAGTTTTGTGAATTATTTTGTAGGGAATGTAGAGTGACAGACAACCTTTTTAATGATAAAATCTAAGTTATGAAATAATCTAAAATACTATCATTGTTGACTTATGTAGTACCCTTTTGACAAAACTAAAAGCACTGATAATTGTATTTATTCTTTATCTTAATATAAGTTTCTTTGAATTAATCATATTTTTAGATCATATATTTTTAAGACATGAATTCTGAATAGAATGTAATTATTAAGGAAATATTAATGTTATTCTAATAAATTTATAATTGTTTAACTGGAAGTGCCTTTGGGGTTGGTATAATTAGCTTTGTCCATTTTTCTTGTAGATTCCCCATCTCCTATTGCTGCAAGAACTTTGATATTAGTGGCTAAGTCTGTGCAGAATTTAGCAAATCTTGTGGAGTTTGGAGCTAAGGTAGAAAACATTTTATAATTGAATCTGTATTGATGAATGAAACTATAACATGATTAAACCATAAATTGCAGCAAATTATTTTCCTTGTGAACAGGGAACAAGCAAGGATGCCCATTTTCACCATTTCTATTCAGTATTGTTTTGAAAGTACTTGCTAGGGCAGTAGGACAAAAGAAGGAAATAAATCCAGAAAAAATATCCAGATCGGCAAAGAGATGGTTAAAGTGTCACTATAAGCAGATGATATGATAATGTACACAGAAACCCCCAAAGACTCAACAAAAAAACTTAGAGCTAGTTGACCACTTTAGTTGGGTGCCAAGATACAAGATCAGTATCCAAAAAGCAGTGGGATTCCTCTACAGTAACAAAGAGAATTCAGATAAGGAAACTAAGAAAGCAATACCATTTACAATAGCCAACTACAAAATGAAATACTTAGGAATAAACCTATCTAGACAACAACAAAGAGACATAAAAGACCTGTGCAAAGAAAACTACAGAACATTTCTTTTTTTCTTTTTTCCAATTTACACTAAATCATTTATTTTCCAAAAAAATGTGTATGTGTTCTGAGAGGTGACACATGATACAGTTTGACTGGGCATTCTCTATCAATCATAACATGACAGGACACGAGAGGCTAAAAATGGCTCATCATAATTTATGTTAAAATGTACACCTTTTATTGTTGGGGTTTTTTTGTTTGTTTGTTTTTTGTTTTTTTAAGTGACTGACTAAAAAGAGAACAGATAAATACAAGAGTGTTGCTGGCTCCTATTATACAAGGGTTGCACCTCTGTGTGGCCCTGACAGTCACCCTGTACAGGTACAAAGGCTACAAAAAAGGAAGCAATATAGACACAAATAACCTTTTTGCTTTTTTACATGCGATTCGTAAGCTTAGTTTGAGCTATTCACAAGCTACTTCTCTATTTTTCCTTAAAAAAATAACTTCAATATTTTATAAAGATAGAAAAATCTACAGATGGAATGAAAATGTAAAGTTAGAGGCATTTCCATAAAATAGCAACTTTACACCAAATTCACTTTTTTTTTTAAATCCTGCCAAGTATTTGGACATATATGAAATGTTTCAAAACCTGACAGATAAACACTGAGATATGCATCATTCAATAAACAGAAGTCTGCATTTATAAAACAGAAAGCTGCCTTTTTTCCCCCAAAGAAATCTGTCACCAAAATGGAAAAGGGTCTTAACTTTACACCAAACATTTAACAATAAAACCCTTTTGACTAACCAAATGGGAATAGCTTTTATAGCTCTTTACAGTTTTATAATTAACAAACATATAGTTTTTAGTTTTTGTTTTTTACACCCTCAAATCAGGGCACCCTAATCAAGGCAAAAAACTTAAGAAATGGCTTACTGTTAGCACAACACTTGTACAGTACTACAAAACACACTGTCACTAACAAAGACATTAGCGGCATGCTCAGGTGTCACCTTAAACAAAACATTTCTATGAGACACAATAAAAGACCTAAAAAAAATGGAAAAATGCTCCCTGTTCTTGGATAGGAAGACTCAACATATTAAAAATGACAGTCTTACCAAAAGCAGTCTACATGTTTAACAGAATCCCAACACAGATACCGAATTCATTTTTCAAAGAAATAGAAAAGGCAATTGGCAAATTTATTTGGAGAGGAAAGAGACCTCGAAGTAAGCCAAGAACAAGAAAGAAGTAGGAGGCATAGCACACCCTGATCTCAAAAACTGCTGCACAGCTGTAATAACCAAAACAGCATGATACCAGTACAACAACAGGTACATACCAATGGAATAGGATTGAGAACACAGAAATTAATCCATCTATTGATGGTCACCTGATATTCGATAAGGAAACAAAATCCATCAAATGGGGAAAAACAACCTCTTCAACAAATAGTGCTAGCAAAAACTGGACTGTTACCTGCAAAAAGCTGAAGCAGGATGCATACCTTTCACCATACATCAAATCAACTCAAGGTGGATCAGAGACGTAGCGTTAAAGCCCAAATTCATAAAGAGCATCAGAAACAAAGTAGGATCAAGCTTAGAAGGCCTAACTCAGGCTTTAAAAAGGTTGACACATACAGCCAGAAATATACAACCAGGAGAGGATAAAATTGATGAATGAGACCCTGTGTGCATTAAACATTTTCCAACAGAGTGAAAAGAAAACGTGACTGGGGAAAAACATTTGGCAATACCATTTCAGACAAGATTTTCATATTAGAAGTTTACAGAATCTAACAAGGCCTCCTTCATAAGAAAAAGTCTGATTATACAATTACAAAATGGGCAAAAGACTGGGAAAAAATTTTTACAGAAGAATGTATTCTGATGACCAACAGACACAAAATTACTGGCTATAAGAGAGATACAAATCAAAACTACAATAAGGTATCATCTCACTCCAGTAGCAGTGGCAAAGTTAAACAGGACAGCAAGTAATAAATATTGGAGAGGATGTGGAGAGATAAGAACTCTTAAACACTGTTGTTGAGGTTGTTAAATGGTACAACCACCCTGGTAGGCAGTTTGGCATTTCCTCAAAAAGCTGAACATAGAAATTTCATATGGCCCAATTATTCCACTAATTGGAATATACCCTGAGAAAATTAGAACTGAGGCACAAACAGAGATATGTACACCAGTGTTTATTCACCATAGCAAGAACATGGAAATAGTCCAAATATCCAACCACTATCAAATGGATTGAGAAATGATGGTACACTCACATGGAATACTACGCAGCATGCAGGAACAATGATTTTGTAAATTACTACCTAACTTGGGAGAGAAAGGAGAGCATTATGTTGAGTGAACTCACTCAGTCCCATAAGGACAAATGCTGTATAATAAGATCATTATTGTAGAAATAGATAACTAGTAAAACGTGTATGAGAATACAAGGGTGGGAGTGTAAGAGCAGAGGGTTGTGGATGGGCAGAGGGCTAATTATAGGGTTGCACAATTTGATGGGTAGAGAGGGGGTGGATAATGGAAATGGGGAAGATCCAGTATGAAAAACAATATGAACCTTGTAAGCAAACCAGTATAAGGTAAACATTTTAAAAATTTTTTTAAATGCACCAAATATGGATTTTTAAGAGTAGCTATTTCCTACAGAGAATTTTTCTTTATTGATAAGTTTGATATTTTTAAATGGTTTTTTAGGTTTCTATTTCAATAATGAAAATTTTAAAAACTAGCCTTTAGGTTAGGCACTATAATGCCCTGCCATTTCTGATTCATATAAACTCATCATTAGATTTCCAAACTGTAAATCTTTGAGGAGACTGCTCATCTTTCTCTCATAGAGAAGCTGGTGGGTTCAAACTGTGACCTTTTGAATATCAGTCAGAGCCCTTGATAATGACTCATGTTTGTACCTAACAAACTTGATTTCTGAGTTAATTTTTAAGTGAATTTAAAAATAAGCAATTTGTTTCATTTATGGTCTGATTTCTGGTTTGGTCCCGAATTTTTAATTCTCTCTTGAAAAAATCCCCTCGTTTCAGTGTTTCTGATTGCTTCTATTGGGGGAAAAAAAAGATTGCCATGTAATTAGATTAATTCTTATGGACGTGTATTAACTACTGATAGACATAATTCAGCTTGTAAAAATTTTTGCTGGGCATGCTTATTGTTATAGGTCAGACAGTAATATTTGCTTAATGCATATAATGGACTTCTATTTCTCTCTCTTTTAGGAACCTTATATGGAAGGAGTAAATCCATTCATCAAAAGTAACAAACATCGTATGATCATGTTTTTGGATGAACTTGGGGTGTGTATATAATTTCTAATTTGAGACTTATATTTAGTATAATTGATTGTTAACCATTTATGAAATAAGCTTTTTGGATTTTTCCATCCAGTACTAGAGAATTAAAAAAATAACAAAGCTATCGTACTTTTGTTTACATTTTTAAGCATAAAAATTTTATTTAAGTATAACTCTAGTTTATTCTTAACCCTAAATGGCTTACAACAACCACCATACAATGTTATATTATGGATTTGTGTTGGGGGTTTTTCTTTTCCGTTTCTTTGGGTCTTTGCTTTTCATTGCCCTGTGACCTTAGTTTCATCTAACTCTTTTGACATTCTGTTTTTACTTTTCTGTTATTATATAACTTTAAATCTGATAAGCCTTGATGTCACAGTGATTAAGTTGTGAGATTAATTTCTGAGGTCCTGACACAAAGGTTGGTTGTTCAACTCACAAATGTCTTTGAAGGAATAAAAAGATCTGGGAATCTGCTGCTTGCGCCTTTAGAAACCCTGTGGGCAGTTTTACTCAGGTTTACTGTGTTGCTGTGGTCAGAATCAAGTCCGGCTTGCCCAAGTTCTGACCATGTGAAATAGAGTGGAGAATGAGAACTGTTTGGATCTTTTTAGAAATACTTGCTTTTTTGGTGTTTTTATACTTCAGCTTCATTCAGTATAATTACCTAAGGCCCCTTTGGGCCTTTATAAATAATAAAATAGATACACTTATTGCTGTCCGGTTAATTCTTACTCATAAAGACACTATCAAGTTTCTGAAGCTGTACATTTTTACTAGAGGAGATTGTGCCCATTTTTTTCCTGCAGAGCAGCTGGTAGATTTAAACTTCTGGCGTTTTGGTTAGAATCACAATATGTCATATGCTATATCACCAGACCTCTTTAAATTAAAAGTTGTTGTTAAGTGGCATAAACTTGGGTCAGATTCACAGTGATTCTGTGTACAATTGGGCAAAATCCTGCACCATCCTCACAGTCTGCTTTTCTGAAGCCCATTGTTGTGGTTATAACATCCTGTTGATGGTTTTCCGCTCTCTCGCTCAACTTCTGCTTTCCCAAGCGTGACGTCCTTTTCCAAGGACTCGTCTTCTGATAACATAGTTTTACCATCCTTGCCTCTAATGATCAGTCTGCTTCACTTTTTCCAAGACAAATTTGTTTGTTCCTTTAGCACTTCATTGGATGCTAATTCTCCCATCCCCCCAAAGTTAGTAATAAAATAATGATCTCAAAATGACAGGGGGGGGTTATTTTTCTATTTACATGATCCTAGTAAGATATTTTTTAAACTGTTGGTTCCAAAATTTTCAGATCTGAATCGTTAATTTAAAATTAGATGAAGAAATAATACAGTTAATATAGAAATTTAAAAAAAAAAAAGATGTGTGTGAAATGGATCAAGTACATGGTACTCAGTGCATGGCAATTGTCAATGTCTTAATGCATTCACATTCATTTAAAAGTATAAGTACAACCATCTCACTCCTTTGACATACTGTTGTTACAATCCTAGTGACTTGTGCTGCTAACCCAAAGGCTGTACATCTTCAGTGGTTTGAGACCATCATTGTCTCTGAAGGCTAATATCCTGTTGTGATTTATAGCCTTGAAAACTCAATAAAGTGTTTTAGTGAGTGGCAGTGGACTTGAGCATGCTGAGCTTGAGTTTTAGTGGGCTTTACAGCTCAGGTTAAAAAAATTAATGAGTAAAAAATTATTTAATTCCTATAGTTTTCCACTTAAGATGAAAGAGATGCAAGGGGCCAAATATAAATGTCCTTCATATTTCTATCTGTGAATTCCTGGAGAATATTGAAAAATAATAATATTTAATTGGGTAAAACAACTTGGTTGATAAGTATGAGATTTTTACTATAATAATCTTTAAGGTTTTGAAGAATTGTTATTTCAGAACTGGATAGCCATTCCTGTTTCTTAGTCTGTTTTACTTGAGAAGCTTTGCTGACACCTGTCCACCATAGGTGAACCCACTGCTATTGGAATTACCTAGTGGGATAGCTTCTACTATCATAAAAACAAGTTTCCCCTCAGTACAGCAAACTGGCAAGCAAGGGCTGTATCCATAAGAGCAAACTATGAAACGAATAAGCATACACATAAGGCCAAACATGCAGGTTCTGGAATATAGAAAACAAGCTGTCTGACCTCGGACAGATAGATGAAGAAAATAATGCAGTTGTCAACTATTTAATTTTACTTTGATTGACAGTCAACATCCATGTTTGGAGCAGTCAAGAAATAAAAAAATGGGTTGCATTACGAATATATGACAAACACTTCTCTAAATTGCTAAAGAGCAACAGTGTCAGTTTAAAGACTAAGGTGTGCATGATCCTGTTGTTATGTGCCGTCAAGTTGCTTGCATAGAGACCCTATGTACAATAGCCCTAAACTCTGCTCTGTCCTGTGCTAATCTCACTGTCTCCGATATGCCCAGCCCAATTACCCAAGTCACTGAATGAACCAAGAGGGCTTTCCCCTCCTGCGCTGTCCCTTCACCCTACCAAGCATGATGTCCCTCTCCAAGGACCAGTCAGTCCCGCCTTACAACATGTCCAAAGTATGTTAGACAGAGCCTTAGAATCCTCGCCTCCCATGAGCTGCCTGGTTTCACCCTTTCCAGGACGCATGTTTGTTTTCCTAGCAGTCCATGGTACCCTCAATACTCTTCTCCAGCACCACAGTTCAGAGGCATCAGTTCTCCTTCTGTCCTCCTTAGTCACTGTCCAACTCTCTGATGTATAACAAGTGAGAGCAAAGACCATGGCCTGTATCAGA